GTTGTACTACTCGGTTCATTTGTTCTGCTTGCCCATTTGACTGAAGATGATTTCCTGAAGTCATTTGGAGTTTTGTGCCCATTTGTTCAGCAGTAAACTGCCACAGTTCGCTCGTGAATCTGACATTTCTATCACTAACCATAGACGTAGGTAGACCGAAGTCTCTTACCCAGTTATCCATGAAAAGTTTGATGACGAAGTCAGTTTTAGCAGTTTCAAGCATAGCGATCAGTGTGGCGTACTTGGTAAAATGGTCCACTATGACAAAGATGTGTCTCTTTCCTGACCTGCTGGTCACAAGGGTATCCATGAAATCCATGGACACACTCTGGCCTGGTCCTTCAGGGATCGGCAAGGGTTGATCAACCCAAGTGGAGCTTGAGTCCTTGGTTTGTCCCTTTGACAAACCTGGCAGGTTTCAACATAACGTTTTGCATCCTCCAACATAGAAGGCCACCAAAATCTCTGCACTAAGTTCGCCGATGTCTTTCTATAGCCAAAATGACCAGTTGCATCATGACATTCTCCTAGAAATGAACTACGCAAAGACTCGCTATTAGCAACACATAGTCTTTTATTCCCTGCCTTCTCGAGAAACAACAAGTAGTCTTCTATTCCCTGCCTTCTCGAGAAACAACAAGCCATCTACCATCGTAAATTCGTCCAAAGTCTTTTTGTCCTTTGCTTGGAATCTACGGATGATCTCTGACATAACTGGATCTCCCTGATAGGCTTCCACCAGCGATCGAGTGAGTTCGTTAGATATGCCAAACTCAGTGATTAGCGCCCCCAGATAATTTGCCCTTCTTGATAGCGCATCAGCCACCTTGTTGTACGTACCCTTTTTTTGTCCTTTGCTTGGAATCTACGGATGATCTCTGACATAACTGGATCTCTCTGATAGGCTTCCACCAACGATCGAGTGAGTTCGTTAGATATGCCAAACTCAGTGACTAGCGCCCCGAGATAATCTGCCCTTCTTGATAGCGCATCAGCCACCTTGTTGTACGTACCCTTGATAGGTTCAAGTTGATAGTCATATATGTCTACCACTTGAATCCATCTCTTGAGTGCGTCCGACAACACGGGCTGTGTCTTAATCCAGCGCAAAGTCTCATGGTCCGACCTCACATAGAAGAATCTTCCTAGGAGGTAGTGTCTCCAATGAACTAGCGCTCGGTACAGGGCGTATAGCTCTCTCTCATAAGTGAACTTAGCTAACTTTTGAGAAGGCATCTTTTTACTCATGTACTCGATCGGTCTCAACTTGGGCCCTTCCTGTTGCGCAAGGACCGCTCCTATGCCATATTGGCTAGCGTCTGTGGTCACGACGAATGCCTTGTCAGGATCCGGAAGTTTGAGAACTTTATAGTGTGTCAGATCATACTTCAATTTCTTGAAGCTTGCCTCACACTCTTCAATCCACTCCCAAGGGGTGTCAAGTCGAGTTAAATCTATTAATGGGGAAGCTATAGTACTATAGTTTTTACAAACGGACGATAATAGCCCATCGTCCCCAAAAACGATTTGAACTCAGTAACAGTCTGAGGTCAGGGCCAGTCACTTATGCTGGCCACCTTCGCATCTTCTGGCCTCAATCCATCTGCTGAAATTTCATGACCCAAGTACAAGATCTTGGTGCGACCAAACTCGCATTTGTCCAAGTTAACCTTGTACCGGTGCTGTCTTAGGAGACCTAGCACTGTTTTCAAGTGCTCAGCGTGCTCCTCCACAGTCCTACTGAAGATGAGAATATCATCGAGGTACACGACAATAAACTTGTCCAAGTAGTCATGAAAAATCCTATTCATCGTGTGCTGAAATGTACCAGGCGCATTGCATAGGCCAAAAGGCATCACCACAAACTCGTACAGACCGTACCTGGTCTGAAATGCGGTTTTGTGCTGGTACTCAGGTCTAACGGCAATTTGATGGTATCCGAACTTCAGATCTATCTTTGTGAAGTACCGGCATCCCTGCACTCTATCCAAGAGGTCGTCAATGCGGGGTAGGGGCTCCGCGTTCTTAACGGTGATGGCATTGAGGCCCCTATAGTCAATGCACATCCTTAATGGACCTCCCTTCTTAGGAACAAATAAGACTGGCGCACCGTAAGGGGAGGTACTACGCCGTATCCATCCCTTCTCTGTGAGCTCCTTGAGCTAGCGGCGAAGCTCATCTAACTCCGCGGGAGACATCCTATAGATTCGTCCTCTAGGCACCTTGCTACCTGGGACAATCTCTATTGCATGTACAACCTCCCTTTCCACCACACCTGTGGGCTCCTAAAAAAAGTCTGAATATTGTGTGACGACTCTTTCTATCTCTGGGGGTGTTTTAATGGCCTCCCCTTTCTCTGAGACAAAGACTAGATACATGTCCTCCTCTCGATTCTGCTTATGGTAGTTATAGAAGGATGAAGCACACATACACCCGTAGTTTTCTACTAGACTGCTAGCTTGATACTTCTGCAATCTAACAGTTCGACCGTTGGGCAATTTGTGGATCAACACCTTTCTATCCCAGTCAAACTGAGGTTGCGAGACTTCGAGGTAGTACATGCCTAGTAGCATATCGAATGGCAGTTCGTCGCTCACCAGGAAGGAGATCTTGTGGATCACTTCCCCTCCTCCATAGGAGAAGGAACAGGCTACGTCCTTGACATAGTCCTTTACAATCATTTGGTGCTTGTTGGCTAACGTAGAAACTACAGTTCTGCTAAGCCGCTGCACTCGGTCCCCTAAGCGCAATCTATCCACACAAGCACGACTGATGAAATTTCGTGTAGAGCCCACGTCTGCGAAGGCGCCACCCTTGCGGCCACCTACATCTACTTCTACCACGAAATGTTCACATTTTGGACCTCTACTGATCACCGCCCAAGAGTCCCTGGGGTCCTTTCCTGACCACTTAGTCTCTAACTCTTCTAGGGCCTCAGACACATCTCTCGAACAGAGCGTCGGTGGGTCTGAATGTGTCCGCGGGGCGATGCGTGGGTCACTAGCCTTGGCCAACGCCTGAAGTGGGGAAGGCAACGTTACCACTTCAGCACGAGTAAGAGCGGCTAACACTCCTACTGGCCCGAGGTGTTTCCCTGTGAGCTGCTTGCAGAAGCACTCCCAAGATTTGAAGATAAGCCCACCACTGTTGGCGAGGCTCCCTTCGTTGTGACATTTTTGCCTCGGCACGTACGCGACGTGTGGCCATGCCACAGTTCATGCAAGTGCCCCAAGCAACTCGGTCCCTCCACACCTCGTAATCCAAACCAAGCTTCACCCATGCGGGTGTCCCTCGGTCTCCATGACCCGTGGACCGTTCTACCTTCTTCTTCCCGGTCCCCCTAGCCTTTTCTTTGATGGGTGCCACGACTCCACCATCTGAAGTCTCACTAGCCCCATCCTGCTCTGTCAACTCCTCAAGGTCAGGGAATTCATCTATCTCCGTCGTTTGACCATCATGGTCAACAAACATTAACTGACCTTTCTTCTTCCAGTCTTGGGGTAGTCTCTTTCTACCATCATGAGATGCCTTATGYGCAGACCCCAGCTTTGCCTCTATGTCCAGAGCTTTCTTACTAAAAGAAGCGAAGGTGTGCTGTTCGACGTAGGCCTCGTCAACCAGCTTGGTCCTTACCTCTGCAGGTAGGCACCTTAGGTAATCCGTCTGGAGAACCTGCTGGTCAAAACGCATACCAGGTACCAAGAGAAGGCGTTCTACGGTGTCTGTAAGCTCTCTAACATCCTTGAACCTGCGGGAACAAAGGTTGTTGATAGCATCGGTGACCTTTTGAGCCCCTTGCGGGTCATGCCACCTGTTGTACACAGACCGTACGAACTGTTCCAATGTATGAGTCTGAGCCCAGGCATCGAAATCCTAACCGTAGCCTTGCTGCTGCACTAAGCCATTCAACGAGCGAGCTGTTGACCCCTCTAGAAAGGAGGCAGCCACTACAACTTCCTGCTCTGGCCTTGTGAGCTTGTGCCTCACATAAGTAAGCACAGTCCTCACCCAGGTGTCCAAGTCTTCCTCCTTCTTCCTATCTCCAGAGAAGGGCTTGGGACTCATTAGAGGTATCTTAGGCATCCATTGCATAGGCTGCATGGGCCCAGGGGCTTGCTGCAGCGACTGCATAGCCACTGAAACAGGCTGTTGCACACTAGCCTGGGCCTGGCTTGACAGTGGGACTGTAGTTACCATTGTCGTGGATGGTACGACAAAGACTCTTTGAACCGGACCACTAGTTGCTTCTAAACCACCAGGAGGGGGCATGCCAAACATAGGAGAGAAAGTTTGCCCTGTGTGTGGCGGCCTCGATGATGGACCCGCACCTACAGGGGGAACTACAACAAACTGTGGCTGCCTCACCGCTGTGCGAGGAGCCCGAAGTTCAGCCAAGATTTGTTTCTGGCCTGCCACCAATTCGGCCAGCAATTCCTGCTCGACGTTCTGCACTTCAGCTACCGAAAGTAAAGCATTGCGCAACACACGACCAACAGGGTCTAAAGCTGCCTCATCTAGTGTTTCCAGTCTGCCTAGCTCCTGCATTCTACTCCCTAGTCTAGCCTTCCTAAGTATGGCTTTTCTTCTCCTCTCTGTTGCCTCGTCCAACTGCCGCTGTAGCTCATCCTGAAGTTCTTCTGCTTGCCGGATTTCTAAGTCCTCCGGCGTGAGGTGAATTTGTTGGCTGACTTGCAAGCTAGCAATCTGACTAGTCGAAACCTGAGAGCCACTCTGACTGACTCCTGACGAAGTGGACTGTGTAGAGACTTGCGACATAGCTGAGGTAGACATGGTTGTACCGGTACTAGCTGAGACTCTAGTCTTGGCACTATCCTCAGTTGCCCTCGCTCTCCTTGCCGCTGCCCTCTCTCTAGCCTCTCTCCGCAATCTGCTCTCGTCTCCTATACCTAACTCCAAGAATGTCAAGGGTCGACTACGAGCAGTCCCACGAGTAGTCCTACGGTCATCCACTAGCAACTCCTCCTCACTAGTGCTTGCATCACTCATGAGCTACAGTGTGTGTGATCTAAACTAGAATCCACACTGAATCCTACCTTAGCCTGACACACAACCGATTATGAAACACAACTAATTTCGGTCGGATGGAACAGAAACAGTTAGGTGATATATTAACAACTAATGTCAGGTCCTACAGGATATATTAATTCTTTTTTTGGATTACCTTGGAACAGATTACACTACAGCAAAGATCTAATTTGTCTGTAGCTGTCTGTCAGTTGTCAGCAAAGTCTGTCACAACTAGATAATCAAAATAAAATAACATCTCTTGTTGGAGATGTATACTGGATGGCGGATTGATAGTTGATTGCCACTGTGAACAGTTACCGGAATCCCCCCTCCCCTGTATCCTTCTTGATTGGTCACTTTGTGTCAACGCTCCTGAGCATCTGGTTGAGCAGCGTGTCTGAAGGTGTGCAATCCAGCCCACCCCTGTGCCCCAGGTCATTGCCGAACATGCCAGCCAGTCCACTCTTATTTACCCTCGTACGGAACGAACCTTACACCTGATTGATCTGGCTGATCAGGAGGAATTTTATGAGAGCCCCCATCTCCTCAGGAATTATTTAACGTCGCAGTCAGAACGACGATCACAGCCAGATTCAATCTGAGTCCCCAACCAGAAATATTTATAGACGGTCTGGTAAGCGTCTCATAAAAGGTTGGCATGCCCGGCACGACCTCTATTTCGCAAGCAGCGGAACCAAGGACTTGCAGCCCAAGCATGCGTGTACTAGTCCCAGCGGGTTGGCATGGTGACCGTGACCCGAGTGCTTCGTCCAGGGCCCTTCAGAGGCTTCGACTGTCTCCCACCAGCTAGCTGCCCAGGAAGAATGTTGACTCTCAAGGTAGAGCGCTCGCGACACCTCACATCAAGAGGACTCTCAAGACAGAACTCACTTCCTCACGGTAAGAAGAGATGAAGAGGGTAGATAAGGAAGAGAGCAGCGTACCTCATAAATGTTGCCCCCAACCACAGATTTCTCACCGGTAACCTGATGTGCAATTATGATGACCGGTCCTTGCCTCAGCACAACCAACAGCAGAATGAGGTTCCACCTTGGCTTAATATGCCACATCAGCGAGTTCTCATCATCCAGCATACACCCCGTATGTCACCACATAGCTCCCTGGCGCGCCCACACTACCCTGGGCCGCCTAACGTTCAACACCAATGCCTTATCATTGCCCCACACCTCATGCGAAGCACCAATAGCTATTGCGAAGAACCAATGAAGCGCCATATGAACCAGCTCCAATACCAAATTGCAAGGAAAATAAGTAACAACGAGATGACAAATCCAGATCACACCATCACATTGAAAGTCAAATAGTCACACCGTCTCTAGAGAGCAGCATTGCACCAATAATACACCAATGGAAGTTCGTAGCACTGAAAACCAATGTTCATGGAGAGCATACTCTCTCTTCCCAACACAAGAGTCMAGTTCCTTCACACTCCCACTTGGCGCTCAGCGCCCAGCCTACTCCTACACAGCTACTACAGACTACAAAAAGACAATGCAACTGTTGACATCAGCGGCAGCCCAAAGAACTTGAAGATGTTGCCCATGCAGACCATCGCCAATACAAGGTACGTGCCCTCACATCATCATCGTCATCATCATCATCCGTCACCTATCCCTTGACTACACCCACACCTGTCCTCTCTTTCACCCGAAGACCACCCCTGTGCTTCACTGTAGTCCAAGCCCACCAGCTATGGTGGCTGGGCTATGGTGCTGCCCTCAATAGCGCCCTCCTCCTCTGCACGACCGCACGTGTTGCACCTCGCCTCTCAGCGCCAGCTAGCAGCTGCAAGCCTTTGCTCCAACAGCGCTGCCGCTAGCATGCGAGTGCCTGAATGAGGCTGCCTGGCCAAAGCTCTTTCCTTTATGGAAAAGAGTTGGCCAGCTCTCGCAGCCAGGCTGGGCTGGCCTGGGCCCAGAAGCTTCCGGAAGGCCCCAGGAGGCTGCCTGGATGCAGCAGCTACTGGGCTGTTGGGCCTCGTTCAGTTGGGCGCCCAACTGTCTCTATATGAGGCTGCAAATCACGCCCAGCGCCTGCATTCTTTGGAAAGGCCCGGTAGGCCGTGGAAATGTCTTCGGTGCTCGGCCTGTGTTTCTTTCAACCAACTGGCGCGTCGCAACTGCCTGGACCCCAAATATGAAATTGACAGTCGAGGGCCTCTTGCAAAAAGCCAGGCTTGCCTTCACTTAGGGCGGGCACCTCCGCCTTCACTTAGGGCGGGTAAGGCTGCAAACAGGGCCCCATAGGCCTACCGAGGACGCTGATCCTCGCACAGGGTTAGAGAAGAAGATAAAAGAAAAAAAAGAAAGAACAACATTCATCACCAGACAAGGTCAAGTGTGATATCTGTTTTAATTAGTCCAATATCTGAAGTTGACAGCAAACAACAAAGAAAGGGAAAAAAAAAACAAAAGTCCTATTGCATATTCAAGATTCTGAAATTCGTTATTACCGAGGCAGCGACACCCAGAGTCTAGGAAAAAAAAAAAAAACAGACAAAACAAAGTTGTTTTATTCCATCCACTTTGATTAGTCTAAGGACAACAGTTGGGAGGCCTACCTGGTGGGACCGGCGGAGGATTCCCTGTGCTAAGTGCCACCATGGTGGACGACTTCCCGATGCAGGGCTTGATTGCCCTTTCTGTTTTTATGGGTCCCTTGTTCAGAGTTATGTTTCCCCTGGGCTTCGGGAGAGTATGCACCTCCCGTATGATGATGAGATCAGAAGGAATAAAGTCAGAGCCTACACCTGCAGAGCACGCTGAAGTGGATCACCGTCAAGCAGAAAAGAAAAAAGAAAAAGAAGAAAGGAAAAAACAGAAAGAGGAAGAAATAAAGAAGAAAATGCAAATGGAAGAAAAAGGAATGAGAAAACAAATGCAAGAGAAATTAGAGAAAGAGTTGAAGGAAGAATTGCAGACCATAGAAGAAGATGAACCTGACGAGGACAGACTCATCAGGCGGCGGGCGGAAAGAGGTGAGACAAGCCAGACAACTGGTGAACTTGATGTCAGACCGCTGGACTGGTACGGCCAGTATGCCTATTCCAGTGACAGACTTCAAGAAATAAAGGAAGAAAGGGACGTGTTCGTTGCGAGATTAGCTACCGTTACAGACCAGAAAGAAAGGGACCTCATGCTTGAAGAAAAATGCGTGGAGCTGCACAGTAAAATGTTAGCAGCAAAGCGGCAAGAACTTGACGAAAGGAAAAGATTACACGCAGAGGGAGCAAGGCTGCAAAGCGAGCTGCATGCACAGAAAGACAAACAAGCGACAACCGAAGAAAAACTTGCTCTCTTGACTGAAAAAGTCCTTCATACCAAGCAAGAGGTAGCCGCAATGAACCGGACCCTGCAGAAAGTTGAAAGCCACCAGTACGAGTTTGAAGGGGTCTGGAATACCTTTCTGCAAAAGTCCGCCAAAGACGTGGATTTGCACATTCCATCTTATATTCAAAAGTTAGATAACCACATCACACAAACCTTTACTCCTGCCGTAATTGATAAGATCATCCGAGGTAGCGGCGCAGGAAGCGGAAGAGGTGGTGATGGAAACAGAGATGGAGGCGATTGAGACAGAAAAGGAAAGGGAGTGCTGCGAGACGATAAGGATACCGATGTCAGGAAAATAAAGGTTAAGTGCCATGGACCTACACTGGTAAGAAGGAGGAGAGTGTTCTACATTGGATCGCGGCTGTAGAATCATATGTATACGGTCAGCGCATACCTTATTGGGATAAAGTTCTGATGGCCACTTCGTGTATGGCCAGCGATGCGATGAGCTTCGCCATCTCGCTGTAAAAAGAAGCTAACTGCGATACTATGATTGCATATTCCGAGCAAATTAGAATTGACGATTTCTTTAAAGCTGTCAGAGAACGGTTTGAAGATAAAAATCTAGCTCGCAGAATAGAAATGTTAATTCTAAACATCGCAAACCGAAAATGGAAGAGTGCGTCTGCACTCAAGGCAACAATGAATGAACTCTTACAATGCGCAAAACATGGATTAACTCGTACCCAAATACTCAACAACTTCGCAAGAGCACTTCTTGATCCTCTCCGTACTCAACTTTATCCCCGCACAAAAGAAGAAGGGATGACATACGAGAAGTTCAACAAGATCGCTATAGATCATGCTGGCTTCTTAGCCGAAGCTAATTACTGCCACTATTGGAAAGATCTGCAAGCGGGAAAGAAGTGGCAGAACCGCACAATCTCAGGGAACATACCTGGGAAAGACAACCTCCTTCCGACCTTTGAAGAAGGAGGTGTCGAAACTCTTTCCTATGACCAAATAGACTATGGTCTTGAGGAAGGACCCAACGGTCCGGTAGCTCAGGAGGGGAGCTACGAGGCCGTTGCAGCCCGCAGGGGAGGGCGACAAGGAAGAGGGCGCGATCGAGGAAGAGGAGGCCATGGACGCGGTGGAAGAGGACCCGGTACCCAGAGCGGTGGTGGCGAAGGAAGCTACTACGTGGGTGGAAGGGGCAATGGTCCCTCGCAAGGTGGCCGAGGTTCATATTCTACCTGGGGAAGAGGAAGAGGCGCGTGGTATGGTACATGGGACAAACCATATCCACCCCATCCAGGTTTGCCCGAAGGGGAGCCTTGGAAGAAACTGGGGATCTCAAAAAAAGTTTGGAAGGAAAGAAAAGCCGTTGATCAGTGCCTCAAATGTGGTGACCCCAACCACATTGTTCCCCATTGCCCAGACTATAAGATACTAAAAGGGAACAGCCAGTAGAGGTCCAAGTTGCCTCTACGGGAACTTCGGATGTAGAAAGAAAGACATCCTCCCATCCGAAGGTTCCACTGACAGAGACTGAAGAGGAAGACAGTCCCCACCTAGTTAACTGTCCAGAGGTAGTAAGTGCGTGTACCTCTCTAGGTGGATCCCTCGCTGGCATGGGTGATGAGTTGGCCGCTCGTCGCCAAGCACGGACTGAAATGAAGAAACGAAGAGGACAGTTAATAATTGCAGATCTTGAAGTAAATAAAGTAAGAGTTGGTGGAATGGTTGACACAGGGTCAACACGCAGCTACATAAGTAAGAGAGGTTTGCAAAAGTTGCGTCTTGGGCTTAAGGTAAAGCAATTAGATGAGCTCGTAGTAAGTAAGTTAGCTAATAGCACAGTAACTGTAATGGATAAGTATGTTGAAGGGGTCAAGATATACTTCCGGCTCGAAGCAGAGGGGAAGGTGGAATGCGTTCTCCACTCTCTGACTCTCTTGGTGGAAGACAATCTTCCTTGTGACATTCTTCTAGGCATGGATTGGGGTGAAGCTGCAGATAGGGATGTGATGTTAAGGAACCGTGAGTGTTGGCTCCCGAATCCGCAAGGTGGAAAGAAGAAAATCCGCCTTTTTCATGAATCAGGTAAGGAAAGCAGCTTAGCTCATTGTTGTATGAGTACCCCCGCGTTCGCCCGCCATGTGAAAAAATATAATCTATATGATCAAGTATTTGTTGCATATATGCGCCCAGTAAAGGAGGGGTAGGTCAAAGAAGAAGCAAAATCCCCTGAAATTGAAAGGATTTTGAAGGAGTTCGCAGATGTGGTAGAAGCCCCAAGCGGTGTGGTAGAACGACCAATCAAACATCGCATCGAAATCATACCAGGAAGCTCGATTCCTAAGGGGCCTATATATCGGATGTCACCTAAAGAGTTAGATGAACTGCGAGCCCAACTTGATGAGTTGTTGGAAAAGGGGTGGATCAGACCTAGCTCCTCGCCCTACGGTGCGCCTGTACTATTCGTGCCAAAGAAAGACGGCGGGGTACGCATGTGTATAGATTATAGAAGACTTAATGATATAACAGTCAAAAATGTTGCGCCATTACCAAGGATAGATGATTTGTTGGATCGAGTGCAGGATAGCAAGTACTTCACTAAGATTGATCTAAAGTCTGGCTATCATCATATTGAGGTAGAGCCAGAAGACCAATACAAAACTGCCTTTCGGACAAGGTACGGGCACTATGAGTTCGTGGTGTTGCCCTTTGGTCTTACAAATGCACCTGCAACCTTCCAAAGAACAATGAATGAGCTTTTGCGCGAATGGCTTGATAAATTTGTGGTTATATATCTCGATGATATTCTGATTTTTAGTAAAGATTTAAAAGAACATTGCGCGCACCTTCGACTTGTGCTAAATAAGTTGCGTGAAGCAAAATTGAAATTAAACCCGAAGAAGTGTGATTGGGCTAAGCGTCAGGTTTTGTATTTGGGGCATGTGCTTCATGGTGATGGTATCAAACCGAAGGATACAAAAATTGCAGCAATTCGGGTTTGGCCTAACCCCCGCACTTTGACTGAGTTGCGGTCGTTCCTTGGGCTGACCAACTATTATCGACGTTCGTTAAACACTTCACGATAATCATTGCGCCCCTTCGCAGATTGCTTAACAAAGAAACTATCTGGAAGTGGGATTCAGATTCTACGGCTTCGTTCAAACGCCTAAAGAAATGTCTAATCAACTATCCGGTTTTGAAGGTTGTCGATCCTTCTTTGCCCTTTGTCGTCACAACCGACGTCAGTCAGTACAGGATAGGTGTTGTAGTCCAGCAAGATGATGAGAATGGATACAGACCTGTAGAGTTTATGTCCCGACGACTACCTAATGCGAAGGTCGCCGCTTCCACCTACGAGAGAGAGTTGCATGCTCTTCGGGAGGCTCTAGATCATTGGCGACACTATCTCTTAGAACGCCACTTTAAAGTGTACTCAGATCATGAGACACTTCGCTGGCTTAAAACGCAGGCTCGGATGACACCTAAATTGACAAGGTGGGCCACTGAGATTGATCAATACGACTTTGAATTAAAGCCAGTTAAGGGTAAGTACAACGTTGTTGCCGACGGGCTAAGTCGAAGATCTGATTTTTTCGGTGCCGTTGTGACATACTTAGATATGGGCACCGACTTGCAAGATAAAATTAAAAATGCGTATTCCACACATCCTGTCTATGGTGTTATGATTAAATGTATGCAAGAAGCGCCACAAGAGTTTCCTAACTGTCGAGTTACACAGGGACTGTTGTTTGAGCAAACATAGTCTGTGCATGACAGGCTTTGCATTCCAAATGTGGAAGAGATCAAAAATTTGATCTTGGGGGAATGCCATGATACCGAAGGCCATTTCGGTTGGAAGAACACTTATGCAGGCCTGTTGCGTTCCTACACATGGCCTCGCATGAAAGCCGACTGCATTGCCTATGTGCAAGGTTGTCAAGTGTGCCAAAGAAACAAGAGCACAACGCAACCTCCCCTTGGACTACTAAAGCCCTAGCCAATTCCAACAGGTTCAGGAGACTCTGTATCCATTGATTTTATGGATACCAAGGTGAAAAGCAGGAATGGAAAGACGCAAGTCATGGTCATCGTTGACAAATTTAGTAAGTATGCTGTATTCGTAGCATTACCCGCAAAAGCAAAGACCGAATTAGTAATCCGAGAGTTCTTTAACCATTGGGTAAAGGATTATGGACATCCCTTAACGATTGTGAGTGACAGAGATTCACGTTTCACGAGTGAACAATGGCAACAACTCATGAATGTCTATGGCTCTAAGTTAACTATGTCATCAGGTAGACACCCTGAGACAAATGACCAGAATGAGCAAATGAATAAGGTTTTGCAGCAAACATTGCGCATGTACATACATCCCGACCAGATTGACTGGGATGAACATTTGCCCAAAGTTGTTAGTGCCTATAACAACTTTGTTCACCTATCTACATGCAAGACAACGATGGAACTGCATTTTGGATGGCGACCACGTAGATCCATTGATCGCTTAAATCTGGATCAAGTACATAAGCTTCCTCTAGGGACAAGTGAGTTCGCAATACAATATCAACGAGATATTGAAAAGGTAAAAGAAAATATAGTAAAAGCACAACACCAAATGGTTGAACAGGCAAATAAGCATAGAAGGCCATCTCAATTCGCTGTAGGTGATTTGGTGTGGGTTAAGTCCAAAGAGTTTGCTCCTGAGGAGAACATTTCTCAGAAGAACTACCCACCTACAGAGGACCTTGGCAAATTCTAGATGTGATTGGAGAGGTAGATGAACCTTCTTATGTAGTAGAGATTCCTCTACATTTGCATACGTATCCAGTGTTTCACGCTCAAAGCTTCTACCTTGCATAACAAATGAATTGTTTCCCAGTCGCAGATCGGCGATACCTCCTAGTATGGATGGGAAATATGACGTGGATAAAATTATTGTTGAGAGCACTTTCCAAACCGGACGAAGAGGCAGACCCCAGCGACAATATAAAGTAAGATTCGCGTATCAAGACCCAAGTGAAGATCGCTGGTTTACAAGAGAAAATTTACTTGAGTCTGCACCTCACATTGTATCTGCGTATGAGAGAGCTAAAAGAGGAATAAGTATTGTTGATAGATGAAGGTTTTCTCAGAGGATTTCGAATCTAGGTCGGCGAGAGTAAAAGGGACTTTACCCGATTCAGCCCCTGATCGACGAGAGCAGCATATTGGGGTCCCTCGCCCAGAGCCCAATTCGTGAAAGCAGATCAAAAGATATGTTCTCTGGGTCAAAGGTCACATCCTGGCTAAAGTAAAGACAATGTCAAAGGTCATGGTTGGACCCTGGATGAACAATCACCATGTTTAGATTTGGAGGTCACATCTGTTCGCCAGGGGCAGTGCAAGTCATGTCTATTCAAACAAGGGATGTGTCTGTACGTGCGGTCAATGTGTCTGTTCGTGCAGGAAGATTGTCTATTCGTGCATTGGGTGTGTCTGTCCAGCAAAAGTCAAAGAGTTAAGTTCCAGTCCGGATTCAAGCTAAAAAGAAAGTCCAGATTCAGATTGGGAGTCCGAAATCAAGGCCTGAAGGCCGCCGCAGCAGCAACCCTTGAAGGAAAGGGATCTCGGACACATACACAGAGGCTGGGACTGGGAAAGGACCTGGACAGGCAGAATTCAGACCTCGCCAGGGGAGGCCAGCACTATAAGAAACGAGGCAGCGTCCCCCACAGGGATTCCCATTGGCATTGATGCGTGGAAGTGATGAGGCACTTGTGCGCTGTAGTGCAGGGAGTTGGGCGCTGAAGAAGAAGTTGCGCCAGGGAGGAAATGAGTCGGGCGCTAGCTGCAGGGAAGCCATAGTCGCGCCAACCTATGTTAGTAGTAGTGGTAGGGCTAGTCGGTAGTGGGATATCAGTGAGTGACATTCAGAGTAGATCTTCGTAGGTGAGAGTGTGCATGCATAATAAGGTAAGAGAACCAAGACAGAGTTCTGGAGAGAGAGAGAAGAGATCAAGAGAGAGAAGAGATCAAGAGAGAGAAGACAAGGGGTGGGCTTGGATATGGCGGACACTTACCTGTTGGCGCCACACTTGTGATCCGAAGGAGGACGCTGGCTGAGTCAGGTCCCACGTTGTTGTATGATGAGGGAGACTTACCTCTTGTCGGTACCTCTTGTTGGTGCCGAACTCTGGAACTCATGTTACTCTTTGTATTAAGTGACATTGATAATATAAGCTGCGCTACTTGGTTCTTATCTCATCTTAGTCTGGTTTTATGTGAGACCACTTTATACGTGTGATGACATGTACGCATGCGGTTTGATGCACTCGAGCAAGCTGTGAACAGTCAGGTTCCTTGCAATTCTGGTATCGGAGCAGATACTTGTTGTACTCACTGCGCTGCCATGAGTAAGGCCAGCGAGAAGAAGAAGAGTACGCTGGCTTGTTGATGATGCTGGCGATGGTGGAGAAGAGGTGGATAGGGATATGGGAGAGGAGTAGGCCGAAGAGGAAGGGGCCGAAGTGATACTTACCTGAAGCGTGGAGTGCGGAGCGACGAGGAGTCTTCATCGACGATCGTTGCAAAAGAGAGAAGCACCCTTTACCCCTTACCTGGCTGCATGTGTGTGTGCATCTCTACTCCTCATCCTCTCTGGGGTCGCTGCTGCTGCTGTCAAATCGAGTCACGGGGTCTGTAGTCTGGGTGGTTGAGGTCAAAGGGTCTTGTCACGTCAGGATCCAGAGTGATCAAAGTCCTTCTATCTTCTACCCTCTGGTCTGAAGTCTGCGTTGTAGTCAAGGGAAAAGAACGCTGGGAGATGGTGGCAGTCTGCCACTTCGGTATGCAAGTATGATATAAGGCATAACTAATCTGGGCAGAGACAAGTTGGGAACGAAGTATTGTCCAAGCATCTGATCGAGTACCCCTCCAGTTCTACCTGCGCAGAAGGACAAACAGACAAGTGCAAGGAAAATAAGTAATGGCGAGAAGACAAATCCAGATCACACCATCACATTGAAAGCCAAATAGTCACACCGTGTCCAGAGAGCAGCGTTGCACCAATAATACACCAATGGAAGTTCGTAGCACTGGAAACCAATGTTCATGGAGAGCATACTCTCTTTTCCCAACACAAGAGTCCAGTTCCTTTACACTCCCACTTGGCGCTCAGCGCCCAGCCTACTCCTACACAGCTACTACAGACTACAAAAAGACAATGCAACTGTTGACATCAACGGCAACCCGAAGTACTTGAAGATGTTGCCCATGCAGACCTTCGCCAATACAAGGTATGTGCCCTGACATCATCATCATCATCATCATCATCCTTCACCTATCCCTTGACTACACCCACACATGTCCTTTCTTTCATCCGAAGACCACCCCTGCGCTTCACTGTACTCCAAGCCCACCAGCTATGGTGGCTGGGCTATGGCATTGCACTCAGCAGCGCCCTCCTCCTCTACACGACCGCACGTAATGCACCTCGCCTCTCAGTGCCAGCCAGGAGCCGCGATCCTTTGCTCCAGCAGCGCTGCCGCTAGCATGCGAGTGCCTGAATGAGGCTGCCTGACCAGAGTTTTTTCCTTTATGGAAAAGAGCTGGCCAACTCTCGCAGCCTGGCTGGGCTGACCTGGGCCCAGAAGCTTTCGGAAGGCCCCAGGACGCTGCCTGGATGCAGCAGCTACTGGGCTGCTGGGCCTCGTTCGGTTTGGCGCCCAACTGTCTCTGTATGAGGCTGCGAATCACGCCCAAGGCCTGCATTCTTTGGAAAGGCCCGGTAAGCCATGAAAATGTCTTCGGTGCTCGGCCTGTGTTTCTTTCAACCAACTGGCGCGTCGCAACTGTCTGGACCCCAAATATGAAATTGACAGTCGAGGGCCTTTTGCAAAAAGTCAGGCCCGCCTTCACTTAGGGCGGGTAAGGCTGCAAACAAGGCCCCATAGGCCTACCGAGGACCCTGATCCTCGCATTCCCTCCTCCTTTACTTCGTGAGTCC